TTATGATTGTAATCTGCAATTATTTTTTTTTGTAATTCAGTCGAATTCTTTAATCGTATTGCCTGTCGGACATGGTAGTTATAGAAAGAGTTATCAGAAATAATGGTGTGTATGATCGTTACAAGTTCACTACCAAAGGGCCATCAGGATTGCCAATTTATCAGGCAATTCTGTTGCATCTGTCGCTTGCACTTACGTTGATTTTGAGACAATTTTTTTCTATTTTTCAAAACCGAATACCTAAACTTAATTCATCATCAAATAGCTAATATTCGCTTAGTATGATCTTACGATTCGTTTTGAAGCATTTCTTTGAAAATGAGTAAGAAACTTAAATGAAACCTTGTTACACTTTAACTGGTCTATAGTTTCTTAAAACAATTGCAGCTAGGGGCCCAGCTAGGTACAAATCTAAGACCATGTTTACATTCTCGCCAGACTAATTTAGGTGTGAAAATTTGCGTATGAATAAAAATTTATCATTATATGAGTAATTGCACCTTAATTAGCTCCACAAAAAAAATGTGTCGACACGGTTAATAAGTTTAACGTGACCTACGTTCCTGATTGCGATCATTTACCTCGGTGAAATCGTCATTCTGGCTCATTGTAATCTTCAATTATATACTTTCGCAAATCAATATTTTTAAATGCAGCCTTGAATTTCATGCCACAAGCATGCTTTGAAGCGTCATTGTGTTAAATTTCCTATGCATTGGAACAATGGCATGCTACTGCAATCTTCATAAATCTTCACGAATCCTAGTCGCAAAAATGTAAACCAATAATTCAAGTCCTCTACATGTTTAAGCAATTTTTGCTGAAAATTTTTAACATTTTCGTAAATCTTGTCTAATATTTTACTTACTTACGAATAATCTTAGGCCGTGTTAATTGTCTGCTGTTCTTGATCCCGTTTTCTTTCAAAAAATTCCGCATTTTTAACTACGGTTGTTCAATTTCGTTTCATCTTGCATTCAAACAACAAATGAAATCCAACTTCTGTGTTTTGGGCTTTTAGATTACGATAAATGATTATAAATTGGATTAAAATCAACCAATATACATGTTTTAATTTCTAGAGCAATGATTACAATCGAAAAATAGGCATCAAGCAGACATTATTTGAATACTCCTTTTCTGCTTCTTTAAATCTTTACAAATACCGTATCCATGAACATCTCTGTAATGGATTGCACATCTTGTAGTGAGTTTCTCTCTGGAAATGTTTCTACGGACGTGTCAATCTCTGCGAGTGGAAGTTTGCTCTTGTATAAAAGTAAACAAAAATAGTTCAGAATTTCTTGTGATGACTGAGATGCTCTCAAAAGTTTACTCGAAATTTATCTGTGAGAGCTGCTCGATCCGGGAGGCCTTAGGAAGTTTAGTAAACACCGAGCGATCGATTCAAAATAAATTGTTTTGACATAACAGTTGTTTTTTATTTCAACCTACGGAAAACAGAGTTTTTTTCGAATTTGCTCCTCATTTAAAGACCAATCAGCATCTTACGCGGCTTCGGAAGTTTGAGCCCTGCAATTTACCTGACACTTAAAACAAAATCTGCGATCGATGTTATCTGGAAATGTTTTCGCTACCTGATATCTTAGTTACTTCCGACGTAAAATTTTGTTGAAATAACTAATACATAAAATCATGCATCATATGGAACTAATTGAAATATGTTCTAGATTATTTTAGCTCCGCTAGCACATCAATGACTAAATTTGCTTCTCAAGCTGAATTTTTAGGATCAAATTAATTTATAAGCAATACGATGATCAGGCTTCTTCAGACTACAATGAAGACTTAGGATTTCAAGCAGGCTTTTGTTGTATTGAATATATACGTGCAATCTTATATACAACTCCTCACTGCTACCCATTCACGTCTCAGACCTATGGCTCGATACGTAGTATTTCGCAGCTGCCATCCATTTCATGTCATCCGTGTCGTTACTTATTGAAAAAGGTGTAATTAAATATTCTTCGTGTTGCATCACAATTCCTCTGAATGACATGAAAATGCATAATATTATTTGAATGTAAATTTATTAATGTTTACCTCACCGGATGTTCAATATCATTTCGTATTTTTAACAAGTTAATAGACAACATCCATATTGAGATATCTCCAAAGGATTTACGAGCTGATAAAATTCAATTAATAACCATATGAATCGGATAAAGAAAAGATTTTGAACAACAATAATGAAGATGGCGAATTCGTTTGATTTGTTAGAAAATAATTGCAACTCACTTTTCAATCATTGGGATCCTGCATTGTGAGTATTTCAGACAAAATATTATCTGATCACGCTGGAGAGCACATACAGTGTATATTGCATCGTACACGTAAAATGGTATTTATTATGAAATCAAACATAAAAAGTATGTATTTTAAATAATCATGTATTACTGGAGCCGCGAATGCATTATAGCTGCTAGGTTGGATGTGAGTAAATCAGATTTTAGAGTATAGGTTTTATAGACAATAAATATTACATGTCTTCATATTTTATTTACTTGTCTCATTCGAATCTGGTAATGATATTCCAGTTTTATATATGAAACGATTGCTGATTGAACGTAAACTCGACCCACACAATTACGGATGACCATTTATAATACATCTCGTAATCTAAAAATTCAAATTCCGTAATCTGGATTTATCTGAAGCACGAATAAGGCAATAGAGTTACAAACAATCACAAATGGGGCCCAGACTGCAGGTCATATTATTCATAACCACATTTCAAGTTCACCCAGAAAACTCAGCTTTAAATGCGGTCGCAGTCTTCTCATTACATACAACTGGTGTAATTTAAATCTAATTCAAGGTTGCTGCGGACACTATAGACTGAGGTCTGTTGTATAATGGTGATAGGGGTGAGCCAAAAGTGACCTCTTGTAGTGGTGGTATGGCAATGTCACCCGAAGCTCGTTAGGAGGCAAGTCGGAATGTGGCACAGCAGTAATGGAATGTTTACCATAAGCTGGGTAATGTTGATTGCCAGGGCTATTGTGATGCTGGTTCTGGTGCGGTCAAGCTATTGCGTGCGCAATTGTGCATGGCATCGAAATCCAGGCGGCATAGATGGTGAAATAGTTCGATATTTTGTCAATTTTTGTCAACATATGGCAAGAGGGTTGAATCCTGTATGTTTTTTAGAAAATACTGAGGGTTAACTTGAGAAGACTCTCGATTCATTGGAATAAAATTCCAATCAATGTATGTGTTTAATAATTAATGTAAAAAATATGATAAAATAATATGTATTGCAGTTTTTTGGCATATTTGGCTTGTTGGGTCATTCACTACGCAATATTAATGTTAGTACAAATTAACTTAAGATTTAAATTCCTAATTATTCTGAGAATTCTGATCTCTTATCACGTTACAATTCCAGTAATGTTCATGAAATGATAAAGAATCTAAAAAGCAACTGGAATATTGGCAAAAACTTGCCACAGTTCAATTATAACATTTTAGCCTCCCTGCAGCGCCACGTATTTATCTCAGCACTTTAGCCTCCCTGCAGCGCCACGTATTTATCTCAACACTTTAGCCTCCCTGCAGCGCCACGTATTTATCTCAACACTTTAGCCTCCCAGCAGCGCCACGTATCCTTTTCTTCTCAGTGTGCGAGCCTCATCGCTGTAATGGCATGCGCGAGGGCAGAAGAATGAGGCGAAGTTCAAATAATCCCCCGAGGAGATCCTGTTCTATTTTCATGTAATCTTCGAAGAAGCCCTGCGTCATATTAAGAACTTGAATTTTGGACGATGGATCGAATGTAATTAGCAATTGCGATCTAAAAATAAATAAGTTTCCAGTTGGAGTTCATATATTTGCTGCAATACAGCTGTAATAATTCAAGGTAGAGAATGGTACATGTTCTTAGTGAATTAGGATAGCGGAAATTTTTTCATCAATTATGAGAAATGANGTTCATATATTTGCTGCAATACAGCTGTAATAATTCAAGGTAGAGAATGGTTCATGTTCATAGTGTCTTTGGATAGCGGAAATTTTTTCATCAATTATGAGAAATGAAAACATGTTACTAGAATTTTGACCGCCGTTAATGATTCCTGGCATCAACCGAGATGACTCATTCTTATATACTTATCAAGAAATTCAGCTTCTGACTTTGGCCATTTAACCCTCTACCGCCTCATGTCACTCTCCGGGAACATAACTTCATGTGTGTACAAATGACCGTAGCCAGTAAAGTGATGATCAATGGTATGATTGATAAAAATTGAACCGCTCAATTGAATCATGAAAATCGTGGCTCGCTTGCTTGCCACGAAAAATGTAAATGCCACTCATAACTCTACAGGAAACGTATTTGAATATCGTGTTTATTAATGCAAGACTTCCGCTGTGACACACACTTGTCACAGCGTTTCAAGTTTTGAGGTTTAAGGCTGTCTGGTGGCTGGGCTAAAGTTATTAGGTTTGTCTCCTAGGGAACACCGTGAGGTTTAAGGCTGTCTGGTGGCTGGGCTAAAGTTATTAGGTTTGTCTCCTAGGGAACACCGTGAGGTTTAAGGCTGCCTGGTGGCTGGGCTAAAGTTATCAGGTTTGTCTCCTAGGGAACACCATAAGGTTTAATGCTGTCTGTGCTAGAGTTATCAGAGTTGTCTCCTAGCGAACACCGTGAGGTTTAATGCTGTCTGGGCTAGATGAGCAATAAATCAATAAATCTATTGCTAAAAATGAGCACTAAATAGAATCATAAATAATGTTTAAAATAATCAATAATGAAAGTTTTAGTAGTCTTCAACTGAGCACAAATTTAAAATTTCGTCTGTTAACTATTTTGTTTATATTAACTAGTCGAATTAATATTTTATTTCAAATCAAATCGATTCCGGAAACATTGAAAAGTTAGCCACTCTTAATCCATACTGTTACGGGATGATAACGTTTCCGAGCCAAGCATTCCAGAAATAAAAACAGTATAATCGAAGAAGCAATAGAATGGATTCAGAAAGAATAAGACTGGCAACATTCCACCTGTTAGATTGATGCCTAACTATTATTGAGGTGCAACGCAAGTGGCAAAACTAGCTAACTATATTATTTCACAATCTTCGGCAGTGCGCTAAGGGAAGTCTATTTAATATAATATATGACTGAAATGTTGAGCATAAGCAAGAATCCGATTGATTATGTTATACGATAAGAATCTAATTTGCACATTCGTTTTGGCGTTAGGCCTATGCTGCTAAACGGATAACGAATCTGGAGCATCACTTTGATAAACCAGCTGCTGCCTCGCGTCATGGGGCAAGATGTTCAATTAAATATAGAATTTTAATCACTGCGGTTGCTTCGTGCTCCGAAAATGTCGGTGAAAACTCTTTTTAAGTCGCTGAAATGCATGACTGACGCACCTTAGATAATTCATAAGAAATTTCCAGGATGAAATTTCCAATCATGCCGGAGCTTAATTAATATCTTATGACAATACCACGCAGGATGCAGCTGGTCGCATCAGCACTTGTGTCGTCTGACTTCGATTGAAACGATCTATTAGGCCTAGCAGCAGAGAAAAGGCCCCCATTAAGCTCAAGCACTCTAGCACCATTAAAACCGTTTCTAGTCATCATGTGGTCTTCGAACCCTACAAATCATAGTTCTTAGTTCTTACCTGTATAAGATGGTTTTTAGTGATCAGGCATGTGCGTTTTCTGACGAGTGGTGACTTGATCTTGTGTGCCATTGAAGGTAGTTCTTTGCACTTCTGCAGATATGGCTTCTGTGTGGTTATTTATAGTCCCGCTGGTCTTTACGGCATGCAGTTCAGAAGAAACTTCTGGCCGAGATACAAATCCAGTGAATGACCCGCTGTCTTCATTTCCATCGAACCAACTTCCGAGCTCTGGGAATATCAGTGGTGAGTCTGCATTTGACTAGGTATACACTATACAGTGACGTTCCTTATTCTTTTAGTTGGAGTTATAGAAGATCCTATGTCATAATGTCTATGTGTTTAGAAATGGACAATCACCCTATTAAAGACAGTAGCTATGCCTATTGAAGAAAGTAGGTATAATTTTTCTGGACCCCCACACTCGATTAAAATGAAAGTGCGTTTGCAGTACCATTGATAGGAGCAATATTTATCAGTCCAAGCCTAAAAATTATTTCACCCACTTAGGTTCAAACTTGGGAGTTAGCTTCAAACCGAAATGTTATTGGCTTTTGCGTTCACCCTAAAGTCTAAACTATGCAGGTGCCGATTCGTGGACGATAAATACGGAGAGGTTTGGGGCTCCACTGGTATTTCAATTCATACGTTGTGAATATCATTGCTGACCTAGTGACCTTACTTTTTGCTGACTGCTTTCAGGATGCGCAAGCGGCTCCTGCGTGCTGTTCAGAGAATGTCCAATGGCCATGGAAATGTTTGGAAATTCAAGAGGGACTGGCATGTTAGGACCTAATATTTGTAATGCCGGTGGAGCAGCTGGTGTGAGTAGTTGTACACTAAAGCTTCGGCAAAAAAGCAAACGTTTTTATTTCATTGGATCAGTGATAACGTTAATTACGTTTTAAGTTTCTGTGACATATTGGATAACAGCTTTGGATCCACATGGTCATGATGGTCTAGGTCCGAACGCTTCCAATATGTTTGAAGGTTTCCAGACTCCAGTATTTCCCTAACTATACAATCTAATCAAAGTTGACCATCGTGGAACGAGATTCAGTAGAATTTCACGAACGAAACTGTTCATGAGATCTGCATTGAGCTCACAAATTTGAATTAGTTCGATCAAAATACTGATGCGGGAGTATTTACCGATGCGGGAGTTGCGTCTCAGCAGGAGTATTTTTTCAGGTGTGTTGCCAAAATCTAACGTTAAACGCCGCTACTCGCTCCGGTGTGGTCGAGGAGGATGCAACTTCAAGGATACCTGCGCTTTGTGGATTGTCGTTGGCTGCGAGGATCACTCGGGGCCGCAACGTCAGCCTCGGAGAGTACCCATGGATGGCCGTTTTACTGCAGCAATCTCGTAAGCGGCAATAAACGCTGTTGCTCGTGGAGCAGTAATCTCATGCAGCAGTTCTAGAAATGGTGTTTTATAGAGGACGCCTTTAATTGCAGTGGTATTAGGTTCGCGTCAGTTCTCGAGTAATTGATATTTTCCGTTGCAACAGTTCCATCTTCTCCCCGCTTGATCATGGAACTACAGGCCAACAGTTAACATATTTCTCAAGGACTTTCCTGCGAATTCCACAATTTTACTGTCAGCTTATTGGTTAACTGATTACAAGCTCTGCATTGAGAACACGTTTTCAGCAAAAGAGAATTCAGTCGAGTTGGCGACAAGTGCATCTGTCCCGACGCTGCGGTCTCTAAAATTTTCACATAACTCCCTAAAGACAAAGATTGTAAGTTCCAAATCCGATCAACGATGTTATTTTCTCCGAGATGACATTTGTTTCGTGCCGCAATTTTTTATTGGCTTCCCAGACCCTGCAATGTATAAGAAATGAATGATTGATAGCTTTTTATTTTATTAGAAAAATCTTTTTTTCCGGTTGGCTTTTACCTGTTTTCGCCGGTTTTTTTTTTTTTGAACGTCTGGCAACTGGGTTACCAGACTCTCTATTGTTCTGGACAAATTGCCCGATTTATTTTTTTAATCCATTGGCCGGCGAATATTTATGATAAAGGTACTCTCCTAATAAAACTAAAAAAAATGGAATTTTTACACAGGAACCTACAAATATGCTTGTATATTGAGTTATTAGCCTTTTTGGCCTTTTTTGTTCGCGGACTTGGCCGTTTTTTAATTTATCTGGCAACCCTGAATTATGTACCACTACGTCCTGGAGGAATACACTTCCTGGTACGCATATGTACCACTTCGGAGTCAACGTGTTGAGTGCTCATCATATGTCTCGATTATTTCTTTTATTTTTTCAGCCCGCACTGGGACATTTTTCCATTGTGGCGGATCTCTGATAAACAGTCGCTACGTTCTGACAGCCGCTCACTGCGTGGATGAAGTTCGCCTCCCTCGAGGATATTCGCTGTGAGTGGTAAACTTCCTTCGTGTTACTAAGTTCAAAATCTTGACGCGTTTACAAAATGTCACTCGAATGTTTTTACGGTTCTCAACTTTTCATGTACCTCGGCACTTCTCGAGAAGAAGCATCGGCATTTTAATTATTGAAATCAGCTTGATTTCATCGAATGCACTTTCTATTTTTACAATTCCTTTATTAAAAATTTACGAACGCCAGCAACTTACTGGTCTTTGTTGGCTTACCGCAATAATACGTAAAGATTACTGTATACATTTCAAACCTCGTTCAGGAAACGAGGTTTCCTCGTTTCAGGACTTCATTGAATTATGAAACGTTGTATCCATCACAATTGTTGAATGAATTTCGTCACTTCGTAGGACAGCTACGGCCGTCTTGGTAGTACGGCTATATATATATCGTCTAATCACGATTAGAGTGCTTAAATTTTCCTTATTATAATTATTTGATTACGTATACATTTTCGAGATCATTATCGACGAAATTATTATATATTAAATTAATTTGGCGAATATAGCGAATGCCCAGAGCGCTATAAAAGAAGCACAACACGTGCTCTCATCCAACGAGCCTTCGAAACCTGCTAGTCTGAAAATGACTTGAATACGGAGCTGAGAAATTGCAAGAGAATCCTGGTCAATAACGGATTTACCATTAGAACCATCGACACAGAAATTTCGAAACCTCGAATGTACCAAAACAGACTCAACCATGAACCAGAGACTGACGCAAACGTTACAACCATCTACTATGAGAACCAAATGACCAGCGGATATAAAGCAGATGAACGGATTCTTCATTCTATCGTTCACAACATCGTGAACGTAACTAATAATAAAATTAAATTACTGATTTATTAAAAAAACAAGAAAATACAGAATCTTGTAATGAACAATAACCCCTGCAAAAAAACGGGAGTTTTTCAAGAGACCAATGTAGTCTATAAATTTTTTTGCAATAGAGAAGGTTGTAGACTTCTCCCCAATATGGACTACATCGGGCTCACAACTACGACATTAAACCGACGTCTCACGTGCCACCTTCAGTCTGGTGGACCAATTAACCACCTGATGGAAGCCCACAACGAGACCATAACTCGTACGGTGCTGGAGGAGTGCACCAGCGTCGTCATGAGATGCCCCGACTCCAACCGACTCGCGATAGCTGAGGCCCTCATCATTGAGGATAGGACCCCAGCCATCAACCTTCAAACTACTGGATTTGTCAGAACATTGAGACTGTTTTCGGTGTAATTTTTGGTGCTTTAATTCTTGATTATTTTTGTCATTTAGACAATTTTGATTGAGTAGTATCCTATTTACTTGATTTTGTACTTGTGTCAACCCAAATTCCATCACTCAATGCACCTTTTAACTTGATAATGAATGATAGAAACATTCGAAACGTCGTTAAAGAAATAAAAATGCCCTTCGGTAATCTGATTTTCGATTTACCCGTGCAAACGAAAAATCTTATTCGATCTATTGAAAAAACTAATAAGAAAATTGTCAATAAAACGAATTCTCTGGTCTTCAATGAAACCTGCTTTAAAGAACAAATTTTGCCAACATTTACTAATAAATTAATTTACTGCATAATTGTAATAGAACTAGATTTCGTGATAATTGTCTTCCCTTGTATTTTTCAGTTCGGTTTCACTTGGCGATCACGTTCTCAATACAGACCCTGACTGTGCCTCCTCCACATGCGCGCCGAACGCGATCAGGATTGCAGTTGAAAGCATCATCGTTCATCCAGAGTATAAAGGACTGATCAACGATATTGCGTTACTGCGCCTCAGCCGACCCGTAACTTTAAGCGGTAATTATCAAAGTCGAAATAATCGCTCGTTAATAGGATTTCAAATTTGATAGAGATCGTTCGGTAAGTTATGAACAGTAACGCAATTATTAAGAAATTTTCGCATTGTTTTTCTCACGACAGAATACATCATCCCCATCTGCTTGAGAGGCTTAAGACAAACTGAAGCTCTCACGACAGGAAAATTGACCGTTGCGGGCTGGGGTTCGGACGGCACACGATCGACCACTAACATCTTGAATGCCGCCAGCCTGCCCATCGTTAGCCCTTCTGTATGCCGTAGCCTTTACTCCTCAGCATTTAATGTGGACGGCAGGCAGGTGAGAGTCAACCTGTAAAGAAAACATCAAATAAAAATGCAATATACTAATTTAACTTTTTGTTGAAACGAGGCATTAGCAGAAATTTTCTATAACATATTAATTTTTGGCTGTTTGTCACTTGATACCTTCCATTGTTATTGAGAAATCTGTGGGAAATAATTATGGTGAGCATATTCGTTAAAGTTATATTACACAAAATTTATCAGCGAATTTTGTCCCTCTACATTGAAACTTCTCCACCTACAAATTTTTTGAAGAATAGTTTCCATCAGGAAATGTGTATTTGGGTTCAATTTGAAACGAAATGCATACCAGATGCCTGTATTTATGCCACTTCGTTTCCGAATCTCCTGTATCTACACGACACCTTACCTCGAGCAGCTCTGCCTGGGCAGCGAGCAAGGGATGGACTCTTGTACCGGTGACTCGGGCGGCCCTGCCTTCGCGTTTGACAGCTCTGGCCGCGCCGTGCAGCTGGGACTAGTTTCGTTCGGCCCGACGGTCGCTTGCGGCCAAGTGGCCGCTGTCTACACTCACGTGCCTTATTATCTTGACTCATTTATAACGCCTAATATAAAAACTTGAGGCCAGTTCCCGTGCTAGGACAGAACATCGAAATGTTCGTTTACCTCTCCAAGTTTTTTTGAAGCTATGATCGTACTCGAAGTTCTTGGTTAGGTAAACCTAATGTAGTTATTAGGTTTGAAGCTCTATGTATCGACACTTCAAAAGAAGTTTTTTTTTTACTTCTTTGGATATTGATGCATTTAGTGATGTCGCAGAATATTATGTTCAAAAATATTATAATGATTGGATTCATCAAATGATGAATGAAGCTGTGAAACTGCTTAGCGAAATGTGGAATAATGTGGAGTTGACCCACAGGTGTCTTATTCTACCTTCATTATACGGAATATTGGTTTGGGGGCTCGGTTGCCGAATTACTAATGAAACAATTGCTCTAGCTTCACAATTTACTCGTTTATCAAGGAATTATTTGAAGGCTATTACAGGTTAAATGGCTATCTAGCGTGGTAAACCCTTGGGGATTGATTTTAGGAGGACTTCAACCGAGTTCAGTAAGGGAGCACAGCACAGAGGACAGGTTATGAGGAGGGACTGACTTTCTCCATCTCGGCGCAAGTTTAGGATCCATTTGAACGAATAGGTGTTGATGGCGGAACGAGCGAACTTGAGATTTGAAATTATCAGCCGAATTATCATCTTAATTGGATATCGAAACGCTCTTCCAAAGGATATTTTGTTCCTTTTGTACCATTGGATGTAGTGCGTGACCAACTTTCCTGGTTGCATTAAGACTTGCTTGGGTCACAAAATGAGAATCTGAATTTACTTGAATTAATGAAATTTGCGATTCCAAATCACTAGTGAAGGAGTGGTAATAAAACTCACCGGATTCTTCGATCACTTGCTAACGAATGGTTAGACTTGACTTTATGCTCACAATTCAAAACCGTTCGCGTGATATAATGATGTAAAAACGGAGGACAAAGGCTAATTTTGCAATCTTAGTTCCAACGTTATACCTAGTCGAATTTTATTGCTCGACATACTCTAAATTAAGACTTCATTGACTGCTGCCATGTTTCGCTCCCTAGGCCTCCTGCAGTTGAATCTTCATAATGCGGTAATTATGCGAGATGATGTCGTTCCTAGTTACTAAAGACTGGATGAATACACGAAATAAGCTGGCATGATCTTGAATAGATTCGACTTCATACTGATTCACTATTTCAAAGATGGCGAGGGATCCGCGTAAATAACTTACAGCAAATCAAAGCGTCAAATACGACTCGGCCACATATTGAATGACGAATCCTACATCAGTTGGTCTCCTATGCATGGTTGAAATGCAACAAATTTCAAATCAAGATTCCGATTAATGAGGAGTTTCAGAACGATTTTTTATTTGAAACCTAATGTCGTAGTGGATGCAACAACAAATTGATCCATATATTACATTCGTAATATAAAGAAATACTTAACTTTAACATTATGTATGAGAATAGCAAGTTAGAGGAAATTGCAGGTTGGAAGAATAAATGTACGAACCGTTTTATTATTAAAATTTGATTTACCTCCTCTTGTCAATTGTTATTGCCTGATAGCTGTATCAATTTTCGGTAAGATCATTCAGGAACGTATCCCGTTTAAACTTCTCGATGCTTCCCATCAGGCAACACTTTTCCCAGTTTTTCGTAAATTCGGACAGGAGATTGTTGAAGCCACCTAGTCGGAGATTTGGATATGAGGTGCTTGAATCCAAGTCTTAACTCGTATATTCAACTCGAAACGATATACAATTATCGATATACAATTATAATTATATTCGTATTATTTGACTGGAATAATGTGCATGTGATTTTAGGTTATGGGACGTGATAAGGATGCGAAATTAAATTTTTGTGCAAAAGCTGCTGTTTGTCCCATTCCGCCGGAGTTGAAAGCTCAACGTTTTAATCGAGCCAGTAAGCTTCGACGTCAATTGTTGTTAGACTTGATCATGTTTATTCGTTACTAAGTGAGTGTGTAAATTTGTGCCAGGATAATGCAGCACAACTGATCCGTTGACTAACTTTAATCAATCGGGCTGACAGGAATTTGAATAATAAGCAGTTGGTTGGTAAAGAAGCAGTTTATGTGTGCCCAAGAAACGTGAATGTGTTAGTTCATCACAGCTTACTCAAATAATTGAATTTACTATAGTTTTTGGATGTGGAAGCAATTATTGAGTTCATATTTTTCCTACCACAGTTAAGCCATTCTCATCATTATGGCCCTGATGAAAAACACGACTGGTGCGGTGTTATTAATCCTTTCATATGTGGTCTACGGGGTCGCAGCTCGTAACCCGCCAAATGATAGTAAGTCTAACTACCGTTAATTATTCAAATAATCGAAGTACACATGTTGGTAACTGCTGTCGTTGATGCTGTAGCATTGAAATCTGAGAGTTCACTGATTCAAATAATGGAAGAAATAACAATTTACAGAATTTTAATTTAACCAACCTTATAAAGTTAGTTTACACAAAATAAGGAATTAACCGAAATTTTTGAGATAAACATTACCAATGTCGCGTCTCAGTATGCGTAAACGTAAACAGGATTGATGACTTGACCAGAGTTAGATCATTAGTAGGTAGCACATTTGTTCCGCGACTGTGATGAAACTGGTCGTTGTTTTGACCGCATCAAAATTGTTGTGCTGCAGAAAAATTTCAAAAAATCCATGATTCACGGTTATGATTTGATGTATTGGTGCCGCCTATAGCCAGAAAGCGTCTTTAAGCCTTGATGAATTTGAAATAATATTCCATTGAGTACGTTCTTTCAATACGTTAAAAAGAGGGCGAACATTTATTCACGTATGACCTACACCAGTACACCCTTATCTAACTTTTCAATGGCTCCATATAAATTTTGTCATTAACGTTAAAAAATTATCAAACCCGTGAATTATGTAAGCCGCATCAATCTTGGAACGATTTATTAAGGAAGGATTTATGAGTTAAAAAGTGACCAGGAGCAAGTGGAGAATATAACTAATGCTTCCACATTCAAGCCAAACGCCGAAGTCTAGTGGTGGAGACACAAGACAGGCGAGCAAGTCGACTACGCCTGCTAGAGTCATATCTTAATCTAGAGCCGACATGTGCTTTTAACAAACATGGGAAACTAGTTGGTTTTAATCGACACGTATTATTGATCTGCGACTAAGGAGAGAGAACCGTGTAGGAGTACTACGACAGACGAGCCAGAAATTGACTGTAAAAGATTTAGTGGAAGTCATTTTAGTGTTTACCATTTTTGGCTAAGGTGGTTGGTTTTTTAATGTTGCTGGATGCCATTCACATGTGATATAGATGCCACCGCTCTCGATTTATTCCAGATGTTGGTCTCTGTTCCTGTCACGAGGCGGCGTGCGTGCCGTTGAGTCAGTGTCCTCGTCTGCAAAGCTTGGCCAAAAGTCGTGATATAGAGTACACGATCTGCGAGAAGACCGGCGCTTCCAAGGTTAAGGAAATGAAATAAAAATTTCAGTAATTGTCAAACTGTAAACTCTAACTTCAAGGATTATTTCTGTTCGACGTTTCTCCAATGACGCACGTTTCATCGGTAATAATGAATTCATCAGTAATTCATAACTCAAATAACTGAAGAAATGAATGAGTAATGTAACTCGGCCATGAGGACGTGTTTTCATTAATAATCGATGCTACTACAGCTTTCATAGGTTCTATAGCAACAGAGGACATGACGAGAAGTGCACTATGCGTACATTTTAATTAAGGAGAAGCAATCGCGAATTGTCGGGTTAGTTCATCGTTGTGCACGATGAAATATGGATAGCCTCATGAAGTTTCGCCTATTATTTATCAAGCATAAAGCGCTCAAATAGTTACTCAACTTTCCATTTATTTCGAGCAGTTTCATTGATTTTAGATTCGGATGAAAATGTTAACATTTCCCAACCGTTCAGAAAATATAATTAATATGTAAAACAAGTTTTCATTTTTCAGAAATATTGCTGCCTGCCATCCAATGTTTGCTCGAAATTAGATCATCGAATTTCAGAAAACCAAGTTAGCACCGTTGGAAATGATGCAAAAACTGTGGCTGCAAATGCCTTACCTATCACCGAAGAGACGAATGTTTGGGTTAAGACGACGGAAGAAAACGACGGAGTATTTGCCGTAGAAAACTATTCAGATGCTGACACAACGAAGCTGAATGCCGGCGCCTTCTCGACGGAGCCGAATGTCCGCGCCTACTCGACGGAGCCGAATGTCCGCGCCTACTCGACGGAGCCGAATGTCCGCGCCTACTCGACGGAGCCGAATGTCCGCGCCCACTCGCCGGAGCCGAATGTCCGCGCCCACTCGCCGGAGCCGAATGTCCGCGCCTACTCGACGGAGCCGAATGTCCGCGCNTTCGTGTATTAGGTTTGAAAAAGAGCGTGTATCTAGATACTAAATTACTTAAAGAACCTTAATGGTAAACTGGAAACATTCGTGTAGTCAAGCACCTATGCACCTTACAGCACAGCTCTTACAGTGAATGCAACTTTCGTTGCAATTCGAATGTTATTATTGCACATTTTTCTCATATTCAACGATATTCATAGTCGTTGCAATTCGAATGTTATTATTGAACATTTCCCTCATATTCAACGATATTCACAGTCATCTTGTTTTAATAAGTGATAATAATTTGAGTTGTAGTTAATTGCGTTTTCTTTCCAGATATCAAATCGAATTAGGACGGCCGGATAAGACGACACAATTTCCCTCAATCGTCATCAGGGCCCAAGATTTGTCCATAGTAGAATATCCCGCGTTCCAGCTCAAGCCTCGCATAGAACACGACATTGCTCTGGTTGTAATGAGAAATCCAGTCTCTACAAACGGTGAGAGTTAGATTAATTTCCTCAAAGGAAGTTGCTGTTAAAGAATTATAATTTTTCTTAAATTTATAACATGCGATAAACGCTACAAACACTTTTTTCCTGAATTGAGCTATAAATTGAAATGGATTATATATGTTACATTTATCATGTGTGCATGTTTTTAATCAATGGCATTAGACTAATATTGGTGTTTTTTAGTTCCTAACATAAAGGCACTGAGGCTGCTCCCAGATTCTTTTACAACTTGGAGCCTGACGAATCAGGTCGGGCGGGTTGCAGGATGGGGAAGTACTGGAACAGTCGTCTCGAGCGAAATCTTGTACCAAACTACGATGACAATCGACAACAGATTTTGCCAGGGCCTGTCGGTTTTTAATCCCGATTCTCAGGTACTCAAGAAAACGACAATGCTCAGCTTCCGAGCTTATGACAATAATGTTTTGGTGTCGTTCTAGCCTCGATGATACTGCATGCAAGGTTATATAATGAAATAGCTGGAAAATATTCAGATTTTTTTTCTGTTTACATCACTGGATGAAAACAGACGAAGTTTATCGTTCAGATTGATATCGAATAGGAATGAAACGTTTTCTGAAGAGCTCGCATAAGATCAGTGTATGATCGATCAGTCCACAGGTGAAAAGAATAATGTCACCATGTAGACAATTTATCATCAAATTCGCTTTTTCTCTGCAGCTTTGCCTCATGGGAGTGAGCGGAAGCGATATTTGCAGCGGAGACTCAGGCACGCCGCTGTCACTTGACGCTGGAGGATTCCGCTACTTAGTAGGAGTCATTTCCCGGAATTTAGATTGCTCTGGTAGGAATCCGACTTTTGCAGGCTTCGTGAGTTACTACTACAAGTGGATCGTTGATACTATTGCTGAATACGGTGGTAGTAACGATGCTCAGTACGGAGTATAAATCATTAGATTGTAAGTGCAGCTGTTTTTGCCAAACGGTAAAGGAGTTCTATATTCCGTTTGGCCTTTTTGAAGAATGAAATAACGATTTACGAATTCATGTTTGATTGATTCCTTTATACAATTTCAGTAAAATTTCATGAATTGGAATATCGTGCGACGGTTTGCGACTGTCTGTTCGATTCAAATTTCGTTACATACAGTAATTGCTCCTGTTATAAAATCAGTAGCATTGGAAACTCATCAAAGAGGTTGGTAGATGAGAGTGGGAGCACGATTTCTTTGTCGTGCTCATTCATCTAGTATCATTTGTACATTGGATCCATTTTATATGAAAAAATTACTTGTTTACTGGATTCACACTGAGCGTTATTAGGAAGAAAGTGCAGCAAATGAAAGCATTAGGGACGTCTTAACTCTCCTTATCAAGTTGCAAAGAACGCTTGTCCACCTTGCTCCCAATATCGTAAAATCCTCTGAAATTCGACTTTCAAGTAGAAAAATGTCTCCATCTCTGACCTAGCGGGNGAGCAGCCGTTGCCGAGTTATGATGGAAAAAGTAAAAAAGTACCCCCCATTGCAGCGATTCCTAATATATAAGCAAAGGCTGTGAAGACATCAATGTCAATACGCGGACTGAGAGCGCGGGTAAAAGCCGGGGGGACCCCACATTTACGTACAGCAGCAACGAGCGAAAAACTTGTCTTCGATTGAGCATTCAAAGTGCATCATCTTACTAATATTAAAAATTTCCATAATTTGAAGCCCAACGAGAAAAATACTCTGACTCCAAATCCAAGACGTCCTACACTAATTATTTCGAACCTTGACTCTGGAATGAAACAATCTTTGGTTACAGTTTCGAATCTTCTTCCCTAACAGTTGTGCTTGGGTCAGGATCTTCACATATTACTTGGATCAGCGTTAAACATCATTTGGTAGAAAATAGAGACACAAATTTCAATTCAGTTCTCGCCATTTGTTGTTCCAAATCTTGGAAAATAGTCTTCTTCCACAAACGTTCGATCCTTGTCACATAAATTGAGATTAACTGGGAAGGGCGTTAGCCTCTTTTGCTAGACTACTGTGTAGAACGGAGCATATAAAAGAAAAACTAAAAAAAATTGCGATACATTAATCTTAGATAAAAGTAAGAGAGATATTGTTTTATTGGAACCTGCTATCAGAAGCGGCAATCATGTGATGTTACAGAAATCCCCTATGCCGCTTCATTTTTTTCATCATAGTAAGGCAGAATCACTGAACGCTTCACGGATCATGCTCTTCTATAAAAGCGTGAGCTTCGATTGTACTTTCTCCTGTTTGCCATATTGTGGCTTCAGCCGTGACCGTATTGTGGCTTCACCCGTGACCGTATTGTTGCTTCAGCCGTGACCGTATTGTGGCTTCAGCAGTGACCGTATTGTGGCTGCAGCCGTGACCGTATTGTGGCTGGAGCCGTGACCGTATTGTGGCTTCAGCAGTGACCGTATTGTGGCATCAGCCGTGACCGTATTGTGGCTTCAGCAGTGACCGTATTGTGGCTTCAGCCGTGACCGTATTGTGGCTTCAGCCGTGACCGTATTTTGGCTTCAGCAGTGACCGTATTGTGGCTGCAGCCGTGACCGTATTGTGGCTTCAGCCGTGACCGCATTATAGCTTAATTAATCTTGCTACCATATTGTTAAGCAAAGGCGGAGATCGTGATTTTTTACCTAATAACCTGTAAATTGTTGTTGCAATAAACGATACAAAATATTCGTTATATGTTTGCCACTCATAAATGAATAATATTATTCATCCCAGCATGATATAAAGAGCTAAATTCCAGATGTGATAGCATGTAACTTAATGCTATGCATCGTGAAGATGATAGAAAATCAGAAGAAATTAAATAATGACAATTAAGCAGAATATTTAGAAAATTAACTTAATTGTTAAAAATTTCGCTTCATAAACTGTTTCTCTACAGATACTATGGCTACGTATCTAATGTACAAGGTACGGTGCATTTTGGTAACGACAATTCTTATCTAGGAATCTGTGACAACTGATGCGGTAAAGAGCCCAATATTTTTCCGTTTTGAAAAACTTCATGTCATGTGTGTACAAATGACCGTAGCCAGTAGAGTGTGGAATGTAGATCAATGGTATGATTGATGAAAATTAAAGTGTTCAATTGAATCGTGAAAATCATGGCTCACTTGCTACTGTACAGCACTTGCCACGAAAAATGTAAATACCACTCATAACTGTACAGGAAACGTATTTGAATATCTTGTTTGTTAATGCAAGACTTCCGCTGTGACACACACTTGTCACAGCGTTTCAAGTTTTTAAAAACAGCTATCTGTGTGGCGACAGGATGGCTCTCCAACTTTCAAGATGCAACCACCGCAGAAACAAAAAGGATAAATCCTTACTTCTGAGTAGCTGCCCGATTCATTTCAATCTTTTGCATTTCGCTATTTAGGTAAGAAATCTAAATTACCCTTAATTCAGGAAAATCCCCAAGTCTAAAATAGCTACAGCGCGTCCTCTCGTATTTTTTTTTTCGTGGAAGCGGCAGAAGGAACGAGTTGGATCTTTGCGAAGTCAGAGTTGTCTCATGGGGAACACCGTGTGCTTTAATGATGTCTGGGCTAGAGTTATCAGGGTTGTCTCCTCGGCAACACCATGAGGTTTAAGGCTGTCTGGTGGCTGGGCTAAAGTTATTAGGTTTGTCTCCTAGGGAACACCGTGAGGTTTAAGGCTGTCTGGTGGCTGGGCTAATAACAGCAGTGCACATTTCGTATGTCCGCTAAGGTTCGGCAGTAAATACTGTCGGACGCTGGCAGTATTTACTGCCCTGTGTGAAAGGGGCCTTATTCCTCGCCCCTCATTGAGTTTGCCTTCACCGAGCCGCTGTCGTGGACTGACAGCTCAATAAATCACGTCTGTTTCCTCTGATATCTTCGCAACGCCTCCATTTAAACAGTTAATAAAAGGGATTTTCACTCCATGCTCGTTTCATGAGCATGCTCGTTCATAACTAGTTTTTGGTAGGAAAAATGTACAACAATGAGGCTGATCAAGAAAATTCAATGGAGAATAAAAATTATAGCCTATTGACATCTCGAAAAGTGTAAAAGTCGCAGACTTGATGAACATTTATATTCAAAGTTTCCTGAAAGTTCATCATAATTCTTCTAACACAACGTTTATATATTTTTTGTTAGTATCAACCGTTTGTGAATAATTAATTAGCTGGGTAAGCACGGACAAATCCATATCGCCATCTCTTTTACGAGTGGAGTAACAGCCTAATTTGAAAAGAAACGCGCAGGGAAGAGCCGAGCCTTATCGAAGCTTCGCGGGTCTCGATACCGGCGCTCTGAAAGCTCGTCTAAGTGGATGATGAGCCTCGTAATAGAGCGAAAAATAACATCATTGACAAATAAGCTTTTATTTTCCGATAATAAAGCATATTTGGTTCAGCTAGCGACGCCATTAAAAACCGATTATCGTTATGCCCCGCAGCAACGAATAATATCAATTTCGGTTCTGCATCGCGAAAATATTTTTTTTTACTTTATATATATACCTTGCGAAGACTTCATTTGTGACCAAATATGGTTCTGCGCGACCATGGAATGATTTAAAAATGTAACTGGTCCTGCTTAAGCCCTAGGATATAATTATGGTTCTGTTGTAGGATAACATTCAGTTCAAAACATAATGTATCTTATGCTAGCAGTGGGTGGTAAGCTTGATGCACTTGTCCTTTTTCCTCCATTCATCAATTAAATCATCCGACTAATTTCATTTCATTCTATATATATCATCACTCGTTTCTGAATTTCTCACTTTGCTATTATTTTGTTATCGGGCATGGAATCTTCAATAACTCTAGGTTTAACTACACGGGTCAGCTGTCACAAGCAGAACACTCAACTTGGTCTTCATTCTGTTCTCATATGATATCGCCAGAGCTGGGCAGCGCTACTTTGAAATGTAGCGGCGCTACCGCTACACCCACTAGATTGTAGCGAACGCTACTGCTACCTCTACAATAAAATGTAGCGCCGCTATATTAGCCGCTACAATGGCCAAAATTATATTTATTGTTCTGCAACTGGGATTTACTCATAAATATTTAATGAGAATAAGACATTTTTAAAACATATCAATGCAACTTTATTGCATTTAACCTAACCGAACTAGTACGGGTTAGATACAGTAAATAAATGTTACAGTTATTTTTATGTTTTACCTTCCCTACATGGATGTCTACTTTAATCTACCAATCTCAAAAATTATGTGCATATACATATAAAAAATCAGTCTTTCATTTGTATATATATGTGGATTATTTTTGAGATTGGTAGATTAAAGTAGACATCCATGTAGGGAAGGTGAAGCATAAAAATAACTGTGTAAAAATAACTGTAAGCAAACTGAAACATGAAAAAATACCTGTAAGTGGTAACTGGTAACAACTTATCAAGTAACAACTAACATGTTGACACTAGTAACAGGCTGAGGTTGACAACATTACACCGAAATCTTTCGTGCAGTTTTATTCTGAAATTTATATTATGTATGTATCATGCTGTTTTTGAAATAATATTTAATATTATTAAGTAAAATCTAAAGACTTTATCTATAAATGTAGCGGTAGTACTGTAGCGGCAAAACCTCGTATCGCTACTTAAATATGTTGCGGGCGCTACCGCTACCGCTACGTTGCCTTAAATGTAGCGCCGCTACCGCTACTGAAAATTTAGCGGCCGCTACGTGTAGCGCGCTACTGCCCACCTCTGGATATCGCTGAACTTCGGTGCACATCATACGCTGCCTGTTAATTTCATTGGCAAGCAACATTTTCTCCACCCATGTCCTATGGCAGTGGTACCATTGGAAAGAGCAGAATTCCAGCTTTCAGATGAGCACAAAAACCGAAAAACGCCAAAATTGAAAATTTTAGGGTAGCCGGTCCCCTTAAGAGGCGACACCGATGCGCTTGTGCAGTCGGCGCATGGGAAGTGGGAATTAAACGAGCGTTCACCATCCTCTGAAGCTCCAGTCGTGTTGTTAGGTACGCCTGGATCGAGTCGGAAGATACTGCTGAGGTGACATCCTCGTCTCCAATTTTTATCGAGTAAAATATTACTATGTACTGTCGAGCATACCAGAAATCTTGATCCTTTCGACATAGCATGCATATTGTTCGCCTGTTTAAATCAAATAGTTGTCTGTTCTCTAGTGGGGGAAAAAAAATTCGTCGTGCAGGTATATTTATTCAACAAGCACTTGTAGGAACAAAATAGTAAGTACACGTGTACAGTATGAGCGATGCCTAAAACATGCATCACATAAATGCCGTGAAACGTAACTGCAACGAAGTAATTATATACAACACGTGATATGTAACGACGCAGGACTTCAAATGAGTTCGGCTAGTGAAAGAATATCTGATAAATGTCACCACAGCTTGAAATTGACACTGAAATGATTCATTTTGGTCTTCAGAGCTAAATCTTCCTCCAAGATTAAATATCGCAGAACGCCTAAAATAACTTCAGACTCTTGCAAATGAAGTTCGAGCTGCACGATTTATGGTTGGGAACTTTTTCGAAAGTTACGGCCTTATAGCAGTTTTCATCAAAAAATGGAATATCCGACTAAGCCAAATGTCGCATACTAACGTAACACAACACGAATAGTTTTCCACGTTCATCTCTTCTTCCTTTCATCGCTCGCTTTTAACAATTTTTTAGATAAGATAATAAAATAATGACTAGGAGCATAAGTGTTTGAGATCAGAAAAAACAGCGTCAAAAACTCAATTCCAATTGCATTTAAGAGAATGTTGGAGATGGCGGAAACCACATAAGTGGCTTAAAACAAAACTGTTTTCTGCATTAAAATCGTGATCATGTATGGTCAAGCCATGAATTACTGGTCGTATATTGCAACAAATAGACACGGGAAAATCGTCTGCCAAGGTGAATGATCAAATAGATCGTGTAACCTAGAATAACCAGGAAAATAAGCGTGGCCATCTCATTGAACTGTAGATGGTAAGTTAGAGCTGGGAATAAATCTTAAAGACCATCCTTGTTAAAATTACTTGCACAATACTAAATCACCACGAAACTTTCATCGAGGCTCGCGTCTTGAAATGTGATATTTATAAGGTGATAAAAGACCACCTACATCGTGACGCACTGGCACATTTCGCTATCGGCATGTAATTGACATTTTACAATAACGATATAACACCTCATTGGGAACACGTCGTCTAATTGCCTCTCAATGACGTACCTACTCAATGCGAACGCTCAAGTTTCATTGCCGAACTGCATGATAAGAAAATCGCGATTAACTTTTCAAGTCAAAGCATCTAACGGTCGACGAGAGGTTGTGAGTTAAGATTAGCCGATACCTAACGATAACTTTCTAAATTCTTGAGAAGGTGCTTCGCGACACTGCGTCAAAGACGAGGTCTGTCCTTGGGTGAAAGAAGCTTATAGTGCGCTGCCATGAATAATTCATCATAGCAACGAACAATAAAAAAAACGAACTAAATTAGTGTAGATTCTTATTCATTATATTCCACTTGGCACGTTCCTTACATCGACGAAGAAACATAGTTTTCAAGGCTCCACGCAGTCGCCCCATTCATAAAGAGCATATTCTTCGTACATTCCATAACTTAACCACAATTGAACACCACTTCTGTCCCCTAAGAGTAATGAAATGATTAATTGTTCTGTCATCCGATACAATGACGATCGTCATTGTTTTTCTGTCTTATGACTTCTTAGCTAGAACTAGATGAGTAGAAAAAAATGAATAACTTGCTGATACACTAACCATCGTTAAAATGAAGGACGTAGCGATCGTTACCTTAACTACACAAGGGCTCAATGCTCTACTTCTAGCCTCAACGGTCACTAGCGTGCGGGTGGTGCACATTAACGGTGATGACATTGTCACCGGACGTGTGCCGCTACCTTTAATCTTATCAGGATGATCGGAGCTCCACGGCCAAACGCCGGCAACTATCTTGTGAAAAGTTCAAGGGTTTCTGCTAAAGCTATATTGCACATTATTGCACTGGGATGTCTTTTATTAAAACTTCGGTTAACACGGTAAAACTTGCTTTTTATTCCAGTAAAGAAAACTTAGAAGCAACACGTTGAATAAAATAGTACAGCAAGCACGGAAGACATAACGCTGCTGGACGAAACATTTATAGCACAGCCACAGTAACTAGCGCTAGGGCACAAGATCTCTAGTGGAGCAACGAAGCGAGGTGAGTTAAGGCTAGAACCTCACTGTAGGGCTGGCGGGACACGACTAACTACCTGACCCACAGCCGCTCAGACCTGACCTCGTCCTACGTGGTTCCCACTGCTACAGGTCTGACTCAAATGTTACAAGCGCAGCTTCGCAACAGGACAATCTAGCCAAAAATTTTAGCGTGCGGGTGGTGCACATTAACGGTGATGGCGTCGAGGGCGAGATGGGCGCGGGGCCAGGGTAGGGCGGGCGCGGGGTGCCAGCTGTTGGTGCTGGGGTCGTACATCTCAGTGCTGGCCAGCTGCTCCCCACCGCCGCCCACGCCTGCCACCACGTACAGCGCGCCGTGCAGTGACGCCATGCCTGTACACGTTAATGTTTAGCTCCAGGGGGGGGGGGGAGATGCATAGCAACGAAAAAACAATGCAGTAGGTACATATTTTTTTCACATTGTGTGGTTGAGTTTCAACCGCATCACATTATATCCACTAAAATTATATCAATTTAAAAATGGTAAATTCATTTTTAATGTAATTTTAGCTCATAGTTTAAACTTACATCAAATATTATTGAATAGAAAAAAATTAATACATATAGAAATTATTTCTAATAATTTATGAACTAGAAAATGAATTAAAAATCACAATTACTTTACTATAATAAAAGTTCAAATTATATAAAGTATTCTCATTATTCGACCCTATAAACACAAAGCCTATGATAGCAAAAGACTGTATGTGAAATTTTGCCCATTTATTTAAAAACTAGTCAACAAAAAAATTCAAGGAAGATAAGCAGATATTTTCAGCTCTTCCCTCTAAGCGGCAGGTGGTGCGATGCTGCAGAATTTTACGTGTTAGAATTAATTAATCATTTCAGCGGCTTCAATTAATAGCGCCTCAAAACAAAACTCGGGGAATATTGAGGCAGCGTTAAGCATTCCGTCTACTGAGGTGGCTTTTTAAAGGAGGAAATTTCATTCATTCCGCGTGTCTAGCACATCCATTTGAAGAGTCTTGTTACTAAATATTTCCAGTTAAATATTCAGTGCGTCTCAGTTGAAGTAAATAAATTAAACTTCCACTCAAAAAATTATCGGAGCTGGATGATGAATATCAGAGCAGGCAGGAAATGCTCTCCCACAAAGGTTCTTCGCGTAGCAGCCCAGCCTAGGCGGTTTATACTAACTTTATTTATATTAAATATAAACTATTTATATTAACATGCACTGAAATATTCAAAGAAAAGATCTTCCTTCCATTCAGTGTTCGATGAACTCGGTCAACGATCTACATCTGATTCTTAAGTGAAGCCTATCTTGATCTCCGATGCAACTAAGATAATAGGGACTTACTGTTTGTTGTTTTGATTTAAACTACCATAAATTCCGTATGAGGTACGTAAATCATGAAATAATTTAACTGCATATAATGAAAAAACAGATAAAGATGAAAACAGTAATATTTAACTCCTTTACTAATGTGAGAAAATGTATAATAGCGACTTCTAGATTATTTTTTGGAAATGAAAAAAGGGCTAAAATATCAGATGCTGAATGAAACTCAGTGAGTGCACTTATTAGACTTCATTTCTCTAGCAGTTGTAGAAGAATTTCAAATCAACAATTGACAATTTCTAAGGAAAACTGTTTTCACATCTAGATGGAATGAAACGTAACCGGTTTGCTCATAATTATAACCGGGTCGGGATAAATTTTCTAGACCACCTTAACTGAGACGGTAATCGGCGCGTGTGAAGTCATTTCTAGAATCTTCACAAAGTTTATATACCTATGCATCAATATATCTTTTATATTTACCATTGGTGGCATCTTGATGTGTTTTGCACACACTCGCCAAAGAATTGGCTACAGAGCGTTGCTTGCTTCGCTCACCGTGGTGCTGACGTGCCGTGGTCATGGGGGCGATCTCCTCCCACGTGTCCGTCTTGGGGTCGTAGCGCTCAGCCTTGTTCGTCACCGACAAGAAACCGTGACAGCCGCCTGCACAGCACACGTTGTTATTACACGTCAACCTACGACATGGCTGCCGACAGCCGCCTGCACAGCACACGTTGTTATTACACGTCAATCTATGACATGGCTGCCGACAGCCGCCTGCACAGCACACGTTGTTATTACACGTCAATCTACGACATGGCTGCCGACAGCCGCCTGCACAGCACACGTTGTTATCACACGTCAACCTATTTATCACACGTCAACATTGCTGCCGATTTATAGCTACCAATTTTGACGTCCGCCTTCGTGATAACAAAATCGTATATTTTGTATTGTACATCATGTGACCTAGGTTACGACTTTCAATTAATTATATAACCTTAATAATTGCAGAGTTTTTATTTGCCCAGCTTATGAAGACAAATTGAGGTGTGTGTGTTTGGCGCTGCGAATTATCGTTCTCGATTCAATATCCTTCACTTGAATTGTGAAAGAACTAAGTAGTCAGCAAATACTTAGGCTGCCCTCTAACATATACGTTCATTCAATAGAATACGCCGCTTCTGTTTTGTAAGTCATTAAGTAAATATAATGGTTTTATTGAGTTGACAGCAGGATGGCAATATTTTGGAATACTATCACTCAGTCTCGTTCAATAAAGAAAAATTTTCTTTCAATTATTCATACTCGACATAAACAAGAATTCAGTCACATGTAACAAGGTTACTCGTCGGAATTCGTCCATCTCGAGAGACGATAGAGTAGCTATAGTTCCTGCCTGTATCATCGAGAATGGCTGTAAAGACCGATCCTGAAGTGACAATCCAATCCACAGCCTCACAAGTGGAAGGCTGATGGCTGTCGCAGTTGCGTCGACCGTCGTTTCCGTCTGCACTTCCTCTGAGAGTCGCCAACGCGGCGCTCGACCACAGCACAGGACACATCCTGCTCGTCAGAGATTCTCCAGCCTTTTTCGGTCAGCTGCTCGGGTCTCCGACAAGGATGGGTCGATGCGGAGTTCCTCATGCAGATGTCCCGTCCCTGAAGCGTAATTTTGGGCGTCCCGTTTTCCGTAGGACATCCATGAGCTCGCCATAGTGGAGGTCCTTGGGGATGCGGCTCGCTACCATCCTTCTGACATGCCCCCGCCACCTGAGACGTCTCTCACTGAGAACTGAGAGCAGACTGATCATATTTCTGATCATATTTGATAGTTCTTTTACCACAGAATTGGAGACTCTGTCCTACCACCCGATCTGCAGTATGCGCCGAGGACACCTCTTGTGGAAGCCGTCGAGTTTCTTTTCATGCTCCGCGTAAGTGGTCCATGTCCCGCAACCATACAGGAGAGTGCCGATGACGCAAGCCTTGTAAAACGCACAGCTTAGTCTTCACCGTGAGGCTCGAGTTGTTCCAAACACGCTGGGTTTACTTGTCACGGCTGTGACGGACTTGGTGTTCCTGCCGTTAATCTCAGATTCGATGTACAGTGAACTGGAGATACCGGCAGTGGACCCGAGATAGCAAAGTTCTCAAAGACCTCCTGGGTGTAACCATCAAGAACCATGCTTGGGAAGCTCTAGTCTAGTGCCCTGGGCTAGTACCTAAATCTTTCCCAGGTTGACGGTCAGGCCAAATTCCCTGCAAGCATAAGTAAAGCGGGTGATAAGCTGCTGGAGTTCTTCCTCGGCATGTGATGGCTACATCGTCGGCGAAGTTAAAGCCGAGGAAACAAGGCGAAGTTTAATAACAAGGTTACGGTACTACCGGTGACGTAAAGCTTTCCATCCAAGACAGCGGCGGCAGCGGCACATCGCGCCACCAGCATCCGCGCACAGCAGCTCCACGAGTCCTGGTGAGGATTGTACACCTGCAAGCAAAATAAAACCCATTATCATTGTGAGATAAAAAAGCTCTGGCGAAGGAAAACAAATGCCATCTCAAATTGAAAACATAATACGAAATAGTATTGCAAACAGTTCTGATATAAAAACTTTTAACTTTGAGCTATTCAGGATAACAACTAGGAAGCATCAGTAGGTAGTAATTATGACAGGCACAAAATCAGTAACAATCATGACTTGCACCAGGCAAGTTATTAAAGAGTTTATTTCTTTCAAGTATCTACAAGAATGCGAAAAAAATGATGGGTATTATTGTCGTCGAATGGATTATTCGCCTAATTATTATGCTATCGGAATTTCTGTCTTCCCATCGACAGATCATTCAAATCTATCACTTTAACATATAACCACAGGAAAAAGTCCATTCAACTATTTACTATGACTGTACATTATGTAATGTAATCGGTACCAGATAATTAAAACAAATGACTTAGTCTCCATAGTCCCCATATAGAAAATTTCAATAAGTGACAACCACACACTACATTATTGTGGTCCCAAGTCTCCAAAGTAAATAGTTTAGCAAAATATCACGACGATATTTTGCTATCAGCAAAATATCAGCGTTCATGTGGCCGCAAATCCCCATACCTAAGAGCGCAGCGGCGGCAGGGTGCAGCACGGCAACAGGGATGGGTGACGCTGAGCTCCACACGTTGGTCGCGACGTCGTAGAACTCGTTGGTGTTGACAACCGCCCGCCCGTGCAGGTCCAGCGGGTCTCTGTCCACGCCACCTTGCCCGCCAACGCAGTAGATGTTGCCGTTCAGACACACCGTCACTGCTCATCAAGTAGACGAACAATAAGCATTTCAGGAATTATGTCATACGGGCATGCAGTAACTGCAGGATATTTGATACTTAGTATGCCAGTATATCTGATTAATGTATGGCTGTGCGGGCACGTTTGTAATAGCTTAACATCGCAATAATACGGCTGCAATTCATTCTGAGGCCATGCGCTACAATGGCATCTATGTTACCATGAGACATCGCAAAACGGGATAAAGTTAAATACAATATAACTATTTGTAAGTTGATAAATTTTTTCACATCTGTCGCTCGTTCTCACTAGTTGTCGTCTTCCTGACAGAGACCTGGCACGACGCTGACTCGGTTTGCATCGTGCGTCATCGCGATGAAGGACTCCAGGTAGTAGGGCGCGTGCGGCCCAACCTACAACCCGAAACCCTGGCGACGAATTACGGTGGAGTAGCTACCGTCGCCAGTGGGGGCGTGCACTTTGCCGTTCTTGACGTCGGCCCTCGACCCACCACTTTTGAGCTGCTGTGTGCAAGGGTCACCTGTGCATCGCTCAAGGGCGTTGCAGTCGCCATCTATCGTCCTGGATCGGTTGCTGTGGCTGTCTCTTATACACATCTAGATGTGTATAAGAGACAGGGGCAAAGCCAAGTGGTCGCAGGCTGTTGCGCGCAAGTTCCAATTCGAGCGGTGGCCAGGGTATGAAGTGATGCTTCTACGCAACGTTCAGTGGTGGACGGTCATTCGACCGTAGGCTATTCGACCTCGTGTCTGGGGGGTGTAGAGCTCAAAATATTCAAATCAGAAGGATGTCAAGGATCGGTTACGGATAGAAGGTTCCATTCACGGCTGATTGGTGGATGTCCGGAGAGATCCAAGGCGTTCGATTCAGGGATTATTGGTGTACAAAATTTGTGGTGCACGGCTGCGCTCCCGCCCTTATTATCGGCGATTTGAACGTTCGACTGGATCGCGTCGAAGACCCATCTGCTCGTCAGCTGAACGACCTTCTGGCCACCTTCGGCATGGTTTGTCACGTGACCTTGCCGACGCACGACATCGGCTGAGCGGACTGCTGGACGCCGTCATCACGCGAGCTGGCCTTCAAAGTCTGCCAGTCGACATCATAGCAATCGCAATATCTGACCATCGACTACTTCAGAGGACGGTGCCATGTGTGCGCCCGGTGCCAGCATGCAAAACTGTTACCTGTCGTCCGTGGCGCGGTCTCGACGGCGATGTCTTACGCGAAAAACTGCAGCCGTACCAACTATGTCGGCCTGACTCATGGTTGGCACTATCAGTTAACGACCTCGTGCAACTCTACGACACTAAGCTGATCTGTACACTCGATGACCTCATTGCTGCATGCACAGTTCGAGTACCCCAACGAGTCTCCAACTCATGTTTCGACGATGAATGCTGGGTCTCGAAGCGGGCTGTCTTCGAAATTCGGCCTCGAAGCGGGCTGTCTAACGGGCGAACAGCCGCGGCAATCCTGCTGCTGCTGCCGCTACTGTGGCCTCCACCTGGCAAGATGCTCGGTGCAATTATGTCGACCTTCTTCAATCTAAAAGAGAGACATTTTGGCGCCAGAGAGTCGACGCCCAACGCAGCGATCCTAGAGCGTTGTGGCATTCGCTGGATAAACTCATGGGAAGAAGCCATACAGAAGCTTCGGGTGACGTAAGCGTGGAGGAATTTCACGGGCTTTTTAAACAAACAACAAACTCTTTAAAAAAAACAAAATTTTTGTAGTGCGAGCGTCGTCAGTTGATGCTCCGCCGGCAACATTTGTATCCTGCTTGTTCGATTGCGTGCTCCAAGAATTCACTCGCGCCACAGCTGACGATGTTATCGCTGCAGTGCGCGCGCTGCCTAAAGGCCCGTTTACACTAGTGGCAACGACATGCGCTTTGAGTCGTTTGCTGCAGTGCCTCACCGCGCACAACCGTTCACACTACTTTTGTACTCAGTAGTTTGAGACCACGCGCTTTGAACACCAGTTGCCACCTAGACGTCAATGAGGATGGATGTAACCGAATTTGAGCTGTGGGCCATTGTTCTCGGGTGTGCTGCGGTCCGTCATTCTTCGCACTATGCCAGTTGTAAACGAGAATTTAGCATAGGCATCATAATTAGAGAACTAGCACATTCAAAAAGATAGTTTATAAAAAATATAACCGTAGTCTATTCTTAAATAAAAAGTTCCAATATTCGTACCGATATTATATCATCCTTTGAAATCGCTAAACGGTAATGCATAAATTGTCAGGAGTTGCTACAATCACATAAACTTCCATCGTCAGTTCGTAGAATCTAGAATCACAAATCAGAAGTCACAAATTAATACATTGAAACCATAGAACGAATTGAATTTCGTTAATTAATTAATTTAGATTTTTAATTTGATTTAAATTTTTAATTTAATTTAAATTCTTAGCTAATTTGCGATTTAAGCATACAAGTGACATCAATTCTTTAATAGCTATCTACTAAGTGCCGCGCTTGTGTTGCATGAGGCATGGCCCCTGTCAATCGCTAGCTCGTCAATCGGTCAAGAAGCGCATGCAGAGGCTGCAAAGCGCCTCTGCATGCGCTTTGAGGCACTTGATTCTCGTGTGTTGCCCCTAGTGTGAACGGGCCTTAACAGGCTGAAGCAGTGTGCCAGCGATCAGCTGCCGACGTCGTTACTTAAGAGGAATGTTGTAACCCTAGCACCTTTTCTGGTCGAACTTTTCAACCGCTGCCTTACTAAACATGTTGTTCCGATGAAATTCAAATCAGCTTACATTACGTCTCGATTGAAAAAAAAAGACCATGACGCTTCTGATCCCTAATCACATCGACTGATCTCCAGCCCGATTTTGACGAAATTCCTAGAACACGTTGTGGCCCAACCGCTGAACAAGCATCTTCAGCAGTCCCGTCTCATGCCTCGTCTCCAGTCTGCACACCGTCATCTCCACTCGAAGGAAGCCGCTGTGCTGAGGGTGCTTTCAGACATTCTGCTAGCAGTGGACAGCAGCAACAATGGGGCACTGGCTTTACTATCTGTCGACCGCGTTTGGCATGGTCGACCACGCCACTTTATAACGTCGACTTGTATCATTTGGCCTGTGCGGCACAGTGCTGTGGGGGTTCGAGTCGCATCCCACAATAGATTCCAATGCGTTCCCCACGAAACTATTCCCACAATAGATTCCAATGCGTTCCTCACGGGAAACAATTTTTCTACGCCATCGTTGGCAACTTGCGGCTCACTTCAGGGATCAGTTCTCGGCCCGATCTTCTCCCTATTATATATTATCGACGTATATTTTACAAAATTGATTCACATATTTTGAATCCGCACATATTCACCGAAGACACCCAAATTTATGGCTACTTTGCACCGGCTGGCGCTGCAGCGTTGCAGGACCGGACGTCTGTCTGTATGGACGCTGTCTCAGACTGGATGCGCGCCAACCGACTCCAGCTCAATGCATCAAAAACAACTTTATTTGGTTTGCGACTGCTCGGCGCCAGCATCAGCTCCGGACCAACCCTGCTTACGTGTGCAACAAGTTCGTCATCCTTGCATCTTCGGTTCGCAATCTGGGCATTCTGCTGGACTTGGAACTTTCTATGGACAATCACATTGCTTAAGTCACCACCGCTTGTTTTGGCTCTCTACTACATTCATAGAGCCTATGAATCAAGTGGTTATTAATTTTTACCCTTTTTGCTCCTTTCTCGTGTCTATTTCTCGCTTGCTATTAAAGTTATGTGCAACGTGCCCTCGTAGTTTGTTTGAACCAGACGCCACGATAAATGCTTCGTAGAATAATGTTAATTATTATTATGAGAACAGGCATCTGTCATTTGGCTGGAACGGTAATGTATGAATGGTTTTTATAACAGATTACGACTATAACATAGAATTGGGACTTACCATGAGATGAAATTTGAGATTTAGCTGAACGTTATTAAACTCTATCAACCCTTGTTGGATGCGGCAAAAAATACAATCAATCTTTACAATTTCAACCATCTAGATCCGTTATTGCCAAGCACACGACTCTAAAAGAAATTTTCATGCAACTCAGGGATGGTTCATATCACACGACGCGGAGGCGTACAATGAGTTATTATTAACCTGATAACGACTGCAAATAATACATGCATATTTTGAAAATCACGACACAGTTTTCATAGCCTGTCACCGCATCCAACGTCAACAAAACCAGAACTACAGAATTGCAAGCACAAGGACCCAAATAATGAAGTAAATATTGACCAGGCTTGTAGCGGGGCGTCTTGACGGGCTGCAGCAGCATCCAGTGCTCGAGCATTGAATCAAACTTGTAGAAGACGAAGTTGGTCGGACCTCGCCAGCGCCGCGACACGCCGCTGCCCGACACGAACAGCGTCCGCCCACCGCCCATAACGCACGCGCTCATACCGCTGCACAACGGCGCCATTGTTAGGGTATAGTTTGATCAGAGTTATGACGTGGGAATATTTTACACTTCGGTTTAGTATCAATTAAAAAATTGAATTTTGTTCGGCTCTTTATCATCAATCACCACCGTGAAGAAATACGCAGTAGTTTATAGTACGGCTCCGACGCTCATCTTGGAAACTGGATATCAACCATAATAAGTACTATTTAAATGTTTTAAAAGAAGACATGTTAAGGATCTAAAATGTAGGGTACTTGCAATTGTGAGAAAAATCAGTAATTTAACCGTTTTTCCCCAATGTAAATTCTGAATGAAACTCCTGGAGTGTCACTGTCGCACTGAATAGTGAAGAAGCGGATACGTTTGTGTTTTGGAAATCGCTGCTAAGTTGGAATTTAGTTTTGTTTTAGTCAACAAAATCAAAAGAATCGTCCACCATATAGTACCTATACCAACTGTTACCGTAAACTGAGGTACAAAGCAAGTTTCCTCGATGAGTTCAAAGAACAAATACGAAAGTATTGGTTGTTGCTAAGACGAGGTGAGGAATGTGACAATATTGGTAACGAGTGAAGCGTGTACTGACTGCAAGGGCTCCGGGACGACAGTGAGGATGACCCAGTCCAAGGTGCTCGGGTCGAAGAAATGCACGTCCTGGTACACGCCTGAGGGGTCCTCCCCACACACCGCAACCAGGCCCTAGCGAACCAGGGGCAATGCAGTGCTTATGTATAATATTAAACACAAATGAGCTTATGCGACAAAGAATCAATTTTAAAGTCAATATAACATTGACATATTTTGATCTACTTGAAGAAACTAAGACAAGATATAGATAGCAAAGATATTGGAATACAACACGATGAGAGGTTTTTTAGCTGCGGTGGTGCAGTGGTGAGAGTCTCTGTCTCTCGCACCCAGCTATTGGATTGGAGTCCCACTGAGGAAAAGTTCTTCCGGGAAGCTCAGCTTAAAAACTGACACATCAATACATCCATTCCGTAGTTGCCACTACCAAGATGGGCAACTACACACACATGAGCGGTATTGTAGGTGAACTGATACCATGGCCGTGGTCCTGGTGGGTCGGGGTCTGGGCTGCGTGAACTTGCTGTGGTGTTGGTGGCGACGGTCGGGCAGGAGGTGGTAGAGTCGCGCCTCCTCCACCAGCACGCGGCACTCCGCCGACGAGCGGACGGCAGGCTCAGCCTCCACCACGTCCACCAGGAAATAGGGGGACACTTGGCACAGGCGCACCCACTGCAGCACCTGCGCACATACTTTACTTAGTCAAAAACAGAGAACCTTTAGAAATGAAGTTCATGTCCCTACAGTACATTATTGAAAAAACTATAATTATGCTTAATACGTTTCATTCAAAATACAAACATGCATGCGAAGTATCCAGCAGCCAAATCCTAGCGTCACGAACAACTGAGTAGAGTATCGGTGCACAATGTTTATTTACATACAAAGTATTATTGATAACATAAAATGTTGAATTTACACGTCAAATTTTAATGACATAGAATGTTCAGAAACAGAGGGAAACATTCACTAACGTCAGGGATTGGTGGGTCAGTACCTTGTGTAGGTGAGGGGCGCGCCTGGCGTGGTCGTGGTGCATCCAGCGCATGACGGCAGCGAAGACGTCCTCCTCCCTGTTGACGGTGAGCTCAGCGCTGCTCAGCACAGACACGAGGCTCGCCACACTCTGGTCCAGCAGCTCGTCGCTCTCACGCAGCACGCGGTCAAACTCGCTGCCATAGTGAGAGATTATTAGACTCGCTGGCATTGTGAGAGCTTATTGAACTATCTGCCATAGTGCGAGCTCATCAAACTCGTTACCATAACGAGAGCTTATTAAAGTCGCTGCCATAGTGAGAGTTCTTTAAACTCGCTGCCATAATGAGAGCTTATTAAACTCGCTGCCATAGTGAGAGCTCATCAAACTCGCTGCCATAATGAGAGCTTATTAAACTCGCTGCCATAGCGAGAGCTTATTAAACTCGCTGCCATGAGAGCTCTTTAAATTTGCTGGCATAGTGAGAGCTCTTTAAACTCGCTGCCATGAGAGCTCTCTAAATTTGCTGGCATAGTGAGAGCTCTTTAAACTCGCTGCCATAGTAAGTGCTCATTGAACTGGCTGCAGAAGTGAGTGCTCTTACAATATTGAGAATATTCTTCAAACTCACTGGAATATCAATAACAATATCAAAAACTTCGCCTCACAGTAGGAAAAGCTCTTTTAAATTGCTACAGTACTGAGGATGTACAACAAACTTGCTGCGATATTTAGTAAATTCAATAAACCCACAAAAAATATCGAGGAAGCTCGTTGAACTCACGGCAGTGAGAAATATTTTAAAAAATACTTTGTGCCTGCAAGACAAGAGCGGAATAATGAATAAAATCATGTTATGCAACAGAATGCAAGCCATAACAATATGATTATTTAGAACTCGATGCTTGAGGGTAGAACTAGTTACTAGAGGACTGCGGGTAATATTGGTTGCGATCAACATATGCCGCCGCAAACTGTAAAGTACGTGAGTTTGGGACCATTACAATACCTAATACGTCGCTATATTGCGCTTCACCTACCACGCCCCTACTTCGTCGCATGCTTTCAAGAAATGTCAAATGAGAAAAATCATTTGAGGATCTTCACTGGTTTGAAGTTTATATAAATTTTCGAAAAATTACAATATAGGTAAATAGTTGAAAAGTAAAGAAAGAATGTCTATGCATGCAATAGGTTTTGAATCAAGTACGGTATTATGCAAACGTAACATAATTGATACGCAAAAGTAGTAACACGGCTGGTAACACAATTAGGAAAAGAATACTTTAATAGCAACATTAATTCCATACATGGTGAAAATGTATCAATGAATTGAACCAACATAATTAAGTTGCTTCAATTGAGATTCTCGTTGGTTTATATTTATTTTTACAGACGAATAATCTAACAGCCATTTTGAGAATTGACTAAGAAATAATATCAAAAATGAAGCTGCAGAGTCAGTTTACAGTATAACTTAAATTATAGAATAACCTAGTGTGGAATCAAGTCATACCTGTTGACGAAGGTGTGAGCGGCCGCCCTGAGGTCCTCGCACTGGAGGGTGTCGGCGAGCTGCAGGATGCCGAGGGCGTTGGACGGCTCCAGCTGATGCTCCAGGAANTCGGTAAATACTTCAATTCCCATTCCATCATTAGATGAATAAATATTTTGCTGCTAGAAAGGTAAAGCCTGCCTCCTATCGCAAAGGGGGTTTTATTAGTGATAGTTTCTGATTCCGTCGTACAATATTATTGATTCAATTTTTTTTACATTTATCATTCAATTTTAGTATAGATTTGCAATGTACAAGGACCAATTTCGAGACAAATGCTCGATCTGCCCTCGATATAAACTAGAGTTAGTCGTTTTTATGTACTCTAGTTTAGCTAAGTCGTGTTCACAACTTAGTACAGAGTAGTCACACATTCGAGAGTTCGATGGCATCCATTGCGACAAGTTTGTAAAATGGAATTTTAGTGATGATTTCACTCGGAAATTGAAGTTATTTCTCTTTAAACTTTAAATTAGCCTTATGTTACACGAGATGAAGTTTATTAGCAAGAAGTTGGTAGGTTCAGACCTGTACATTGGACGTGTTGATGGTGATGGAGGCGGTGTAGGCNAACAGTCCCAGTACTACTCACCCTGAAGTAGGGGCTGAAGGTTGTCACAGCACGTCATAGTGACTGTATAACAGTCCCAGTACTACTCACCCTGAAGTAGGGGCTGAAGGCGGCGAGCACCACTCGGTGGCAGGGGAAGGTGCAGTCCTCAACACAGAGGGAGACATCGCACAGCTCGCCGCTCTTACGTAGCTCGTTCATGCCGCGGTGCAGCTGTGCGACAGACGAGCTCTTTACACTTCCGCCAACACTAATGTTACTAACGAGCATTGGTAAAAGACGAGTATTTCAAATAGATTTTTAAGCGGTATATAAGCCAGGTTAAAAGTTTATGAGAATAGATGGAAAATCCACAAGAGCTTGAGTATAAGCAAGATCGTTTATATATATAGTTTATAGCGCAAGTATAGGATTTATTTCAGTAAAATAATCAAGTGGAGAAAGAGCTTAGCTTCGCCAGCGGCTGACCGCGAGATGCAGAGTGTTGTCGATGACGGTAACCTCTTGTATGGTGCTTGTGCCGTCCCTCCGCAGCGCGCCGGCCTCCACCTCTGCTACCGTGAACTGACTCATTGTCTAATGAGAGCGTCGTAAGAATATAGGTAAATCAGCGATGATGGCGCACGGTGTATTGAGAGCGCCGTATGAAGCGAGGTCAGCGATGATGGCGCATGGTTTAAGAAGAGCGTGGCGGGGAAAGTTGAAAGATCAGCAATGACCGCGCCGCTCTCGAGCTAGTCAGCGATGATCGCGTTGCTGGCTGGCAAGTCAGCGATCCTCCCGTCTTTCGTAATTTTGACCACATTTCGAGTCCCTTCTCACCAGTGCTCTGATAAATTTATGCATGCAGGGTAAACCACGATAAGTACGAGCATTGATAGAGTAAATATCGATTACTGGAACTCAGATTTAACCCTCTACCGCCTGGCATGAGTAATCGGAGCAATATTGTCGCAAGCCTACTTCCCAAAAAAGGATGCGTTCTAGCGAGCGCAAACTGACTCGCACTGATGCTTGCCGCCACGTACGGCAACTTTAAAATGTTCACTATTGCGCACAAACGTCAAGTTTCTAAACTCAATAGTTTACGTATATTTAGGTTGAAAGTTATGTTCCCGGAGATTGACATACGTCGGCAGAGGATTAAGGTTTCAACAAAATTGACAAGCTCGTGCCTTCCTTCTATTGCGGATAATGACAGCCGCCAGAAAATACTACAAACCGTCAATAATCTTCTCGTGGAGATGCGTTCGTTGATGGTAGAAACGAATAATTAAACGGTCCCTAAGCAAAAAAAAAAAAATGACCATATACCTGCACAAGTATGGACATTCGTCAAATTTGTACACGATAATCAATACTTAAATTTTCAATATTTCATCAATTTTCAAAGTTGACTATTGTGAAAAAAATGTTCAGCTGTGGAAGCAAGGGACGCAAGACCCTTTCAACCTGCACTGTACTGTTCTCGCATCTCACTATTTTCAATCAATTCTCCAACACTACGATACCTAATGTTTTCATTCAGTCAAACATTTTCCAAAATTGTCAATCCGCATTTAAAAGTTGAGCCTTCTAATTTCATCAATTTTCAAAGTTGACTATTGTGAAAAAAATGTTCAGCTGTGGAAGCAAGGGACGCAAGACCCTTTCAACCTGCACTGTACTGTTCTCTCAACTCACTATTTTCAATCAATTCTCCAACACTACGATACCTAATGTTTTCATTCAGTCAAACATTTTCCAAAATTGTCAATCCGCATTTAAAAGTTGAGCCTTCTAATCGTATCATCTTCAAAAAACACTGATCTCCATTCATTCAGGATGAGTCATGCGTTCAACATCAAAATTGTTTTATTCCAATAAGGGAGATAAAGAAGTAAAGATTCTGAATCGTAACTCTTACCCGAAAAGTCAGAGGGATTACATAACATAGGTAGCATTTTGATAGGTCACCCTACCAGCGAAGTATCCTCCCTATTTCATGGCATCTAAATAATAATATTGTCAGTGTGTGCACACTACACACTCATAAGCCATACAAGAGTGAACAAACTCATAAGCCATACAAGACTGCACACACTCATAAGCTATACAAGTTTGCACAAACTCATAAGCCATACAAGACTGTACACACTCATAAGCTATACAAGTTTGCTCACACTCATAAGCCATACGTCTGTAAAAGGCAAACACTCAACCGTCATAACATTTCTGAACACACGTAGCTATCATTCAAAACTGAAGTGCAGGTCGCCATAACAGTTAAAATTGCTGTACCATAAACTTACAAGAAGGTGCACGGAAAGTTAGTGTGCTACGCTCAACTTTTTAGGGTAGGTAGTATGTCTAGACAACTTTGATGGCATATTAATGATAATAATGAAGCAGATCATTCAAAATCATATAGCCCATAATAAACTTTTTTATTTAAAAAATAGAAGGATAAGAACAATGGGAAAAAGAAGATTTTACTACAAAATATTGTCATAAGACAATGACACACTAATTCCTTCTGGAGCTTATTACATTAAAATTCAATACCGGTAAGTCTTTTATATATTCAATCAGAGCCGTACTTTCCTAGTGGCAACTCATGAACATTTGACTAAATGGAGGGCACATATATTTCTTTGTAGCACTGAATAGCATGACACAATAATTGTACATCACATATAGTAAGTACCAGAGGATTCATGGATAAGGTAACAGCAAAGTATGTGCATTTTTCTTATAATTCATTCATTTCATATCACCGTATAAGTGGTCATGAAAAATCCAAATACCATACCTAAGTTTTTAAATCACATGCCATGTTACGGTATTTTTCCAAGTTGAACATGTGTCATAGCAAAAGATTCAAAAAGTGATGTGAAATCATATTCAAGCTCCAACAATGAGTACCTACCTATCTTATTCAATAAATGCTACAATATGATCAATTTCATGTGCCTCAAACTAGAAACACAATATGGAAGACATACATTTTAAATGAATGTAATTGTAATAATAATTAAACATTAGAAGATTACGTATTTCTAATAGTTCGTTTGCATAGATCCTATAATAATTAATAGGACTTCTAAGGACATCTAAAGTAATATGATGATCTAAACATCTCTAGATCAATATTCAACAAAGCATTTGTTGCAGGCATAGAAGGACAACTCTATTATATATAATAACATCAGTTTTTTGTATCAAAAATTGGGATTTGTAAGAACAAAACATGAGCAATATACTGAGGTTGTGATGCAACCAAATACGCACAATCCAAGGAACAGCAATGTTAAAAAATAATTAATTGCAATCATCTAGATTCTAGAAGCTACAGTAGGTCTGTGCTTTTTGGACAAACTGTTAGGCCATACCTACACATAAATTAGGGCTTTCAAAGCTTAATGCAACTGTTCATTAATCCTGATAATGATAACTGCCTTAACATCTTCAAAAAATAAGCACAAGCAAAACATGTAAGACTTTTGTGCACAAAAATATGCTGGCAGAAATTAGCATTAGACGGCAGAATTTTCTTATTGAAATGCACACAAATAATGACCAGAGAATGCAATATATTTCAATTTTCAGGGAATCAAAAATTCTTCAAATGATGTTAATAGATCAAAAGGCAAGTATATTTATAATATATTTAACAACTTTTCAAATGTATTAACATTCATTTACAAGTTATTGAATGTAACGTAGTCCAAATCAACATAATTTGGACTACATTGGAGTTATATGACTAACAACCACGACACTGAGACCATCTCACCTGCCACCTACAGTCTGGAGGACAGGGCAACCCCTTGAGATAAGCTCACAAGACCGTCGCTCACACTGTGCTGGAGGAACCAAACAGTCTCGTCATTATGCACTCAGCGCACTGCCACCAAATATTAACCGACCGATGATTGCTGGAACCATGATCTATGAGGATTGGACTCCAGCTTCTGTTTGCAAACTGCCGAATTTGTCTGAACTATGAGATAATTTGCAGTCATTTCAATTTAAAAATTTCCTTGTTGTATATTATTTATGTGTATTGTGTAGGTATTTGTCCATGTCAATCGAAATGTTATTGTTCAATGATTCTTGTAAGTTAAAAATGAATGTTGATACATTCGAAACGTCATTAAATATATTATTGGTACTTGCTGTGACCTGCCTTTTGATCTACTACCTATTAACATCATCTGAAGAATTTTTGATTCCCTGAAAATTGGAACATAATGCATTCTCGCTGGTCATTATTCATACGCGTTTCAATGAAAAAACTTGCTTGTGCATGAACCACTTCACAGCATTCCAGCAATAAAAACTTTCAAGGTCAGGGTGTACAGGAAGAAACAACAGTGAGTCGTGAGAAAAAAAGGGAATCATAGTTAAAAATTCTCTTAAGTAATCATAACTATTAAAATAAATTAATTATTACTTTGTATTAACTTATCGCAAAATCATGGCAAACCATATCATTTAAATACATTAGAAGTGAGATCAATGGAGTCAATTGAGCTAAGAACTGAATGTGTATATGTGTGAATAGATATCAAAAAGGTTAATTCTCTGGTGTAGCATAATTCTATTATAACAATGCCAGAACATAGAATAGCTGGTACAAAAACTGCCTTATCTATTTGTTAATCATTAATCCTGCAACAAATAACCTTTAATGAAGGGTAAACCAGTACCCACACGTTTCTGGTAATCTATATACTCCTGGCCAAAGAAGCTGATCAAAGTCATCTCTTCAAAAGTTATACGCTCCTTGAAGAAAAGCCATGAAGTGACTGCATACAAAACAGCACAAACAGGGTTGATGAGCAGGATTTGTGTTCCAACACTCCACCAAAACCAACCAACATAGCTGGGATGACGAAACCAGCCATACACACCATGGGTAACAAGCTTGTGTCCAGACTGTCTCCGCACTTGCACAAGATGGTTAAAATTCTTCTGCGCAGTTATCATGGAAAGTTTACGAGTGATCTCACCCAATATGCATATGGTTGCCCCAGCTGCTGCCACATACCACAAACTTTTAATGGGAGGAAACAACCAAAGTTCAAGGAAATACTCCGCCCAACTGGCAGAACCTGCTAACCAGTAAGCCCAACTGTGGTTTAAAAGATAAGAGTCCAATGATAGAGTTGTAGGGTTGGTGGCAGCTGTGATGAAATATTCAGAGAAGTGAAAAAAAGCAAGTACCATAACATACCCACCAAATATACGCAGTCCATGAAGATCCAATGCAACTATAACCAGGCCTGAGCCAAAGGCTACTCCAGTCAAATTTCCACACACAGCAACCTGCAATTAATGAAGAATTAAAAGCAATCTAATATGTACGGTATATAAAATATCTGATAAAAAGTTCCACAACAATTTGTTCAGAAACAAGAAGGAGTCATAAAATATAACTGAAAATGTGACCAATCAAAATGTATAACATGGCTTCTTTTTTTTCAAAAGGTTCACTTCATTTGTTGAGAAGTACCTAAGTGAAATTTCAAGGCACAATGAATGGTAGATGCATAAATAAGCTGAGCAGCATATCACATGAACAGTGAGTCAATAAATTTCACCAACTTACCATCCATTCATCATCCCAATAGAGCAGTCTGATGATAATATTTGATAATATAAAGTATGCTAGGATATATATCCATGAATTTGAAAGAATCCAGAGAAACCACTGAGGTGCAGCAGTTAGCCAAAGATGCAGTGCTGAAAGCAATAAATAACTTGATACAAATGAGCCTAAAATAAAGCTCTGCAAGCTTACTTGACCATTGCGTATCAATGACATTATTACAATACCTGAGGAAGATATTTTTTAGTTATTTTTACATTGTAAATTCAAATCTTACAGTTTCAAAGTAATGTGTTTTAGTTCAAACAGAAATCTCAGAATATATTGGTAATTATTTTATTCCATTGTTGCCATTTGTGGAGCTGTGACATTCCCACCAGCAGAATTACTGTCAAATGGGGTAATAAGGGACAGACAGGGTAATAAGGGACAGGCGGGGTAAATCCGGACACACGTTCCACATTTTGTAGAAATGTTGTAGCAGCTGAACTAATCAAAATATTACAAAACTAAAAATAGTGGCATAAACTTCCACTTTTTTACCACGTTTTACTTAGTTTCGCTTTGTCCCTATCTGTCCGCCATCAAAAATTCAAATCCTAATTTACAGCACTTCCGAAGATCCTACAAACTTGAAATTTTACATGCATGCTTCTGCTGCCTAACAATTCAAGATTTGATCATCAGAAATATTCAAAAAAAATTTTCTATAAAAAAATAAAAAAAAAAATTCATGGTTGTGAATCAAGTTTTTTCTGTTGAACATCCAGACTTACCAACCCTGGGAAATGATTTGAATTGCTAAAATTGCTAAACTAAAAACTAGAAAATAAATCAATATAAAAAAATGTTAATAAAAACCATGTTTTTCTGCTGTTTACAAAACTAACGACAGTAAAATAAAACAAATAAAAAACTTTAAAAAACTGCATTTTCCTAATGGACAAAAGAGAAAAACATTTACTCTTACATACATTTACATAACATTTCACATAACTTCAAAGTTATGTAAGAGTTAACATTTTTATTTTTGTCTCTTAAGAAAACGGGGTTTTTAAAAAATTTTTTATTTATATTTATTTCACTGTTTTTAGTTTTGTAAACACCAGAAAAACATGGCTTTTAAAATGTTCATTTTTCATATTTATTCATTAATATCTATTATGTAGAAAGCTGGTTAAGAAATTGTACATTTACTATNTTGCAGAATTGACATACCTCAATCCAAAAAAAATGGCAGCCATTATCACCCTTATTGTTTATCACCCATTATCACACACCAGGTCTTGCAAAAATGGCTGCAAACAACCAAGCTATATTTTCCACCTGTTGTTGCCTGTCTATGATGTGGGTTAGAACAGCCAGAAGTTCTGTTGTAATTCTACGATGACAGTAGCCTGTTTGAATGGTTGAAAACGTGTTTCTTGATTCAATATAATGTTCAATTCTTTTTTGAATGATTTTCTTTATGAGTTTTCCTATGCAGGACAGCAAAGATATGAGTCTATAGGATTTGGTCTGAGCTGGATTCTTCCTTGGCTTTAGTATTGGGCATATGATTCCCCTTTTCCACGTAGCTGGAACAACTCCACAAACAAAGCTAGTGTTAAATAAGTTGAGAAGCTCTATTTTAATGTGGTCCAGGCTCCTTACCAGGTAAAATGTTCCCTGATGATTGGATATCCCTCTGGAGCTCATGGAAACTAATGTCAGGGCATTGTGGTGTACCAGCACGTGATACGTACTACACTCTCCATGCTGTTGATCACTTCCTCATCTGCTGCCCAATCCTCTGCAGAAACACAGCCTTGGGTGAATTGGTTCAGAAAAAGTGCAGCTATTTCCTCACTTGTTGTGTGTTGGTTGCCAATAGGAATGTTTGTTGAGCCTTGCTTCCCACTGATGTTCTTAATTGCTCACCACATTTTTGATGTAGGAGTAGTACTGTCAAACAGGGTAAAAAGGGATGGGCTTGGTAAATTGGGACAGTCGTCCCACATTTTGTAAGAATGTTGTAGCAGCTAAACTAATCAAAATATGGCAAAACTAAAAAAAGTGGCATAAAGTTCTACATTTTTACTATCTATGTACCATCAACTGGGCCTACTTGGGACGATTTCAAATGTTTTTCATTCATAACTTCTTACCACGAAACATTTCATAATCAAGTTTAGGCTCATTTCAAAGCTCTTTGCAAGGGCTATCACGTGGCTTCTCCAAAAAAATTCCATATGCTATTTGTAAGGTGCCAGAAGCAAAAAAAGAGTGTCCCGAGTAGCCCCGTCAAATGGGGCTACTAGGGACACTTGGAATAAAACTTAATTTTAAAACATTTTATGCAAGCAGAGTGTACTCATCCATTACTAACAGTACTCTGAAGTCCTTCTCTTTCATTGTAGATAATGTAGAGGTAGAATAAATGACATTTTCTGTGATTTTTACTTGTTTTTCCTTTATTGATATGATATTACCATATACAATAATAACCGTATTATTGATGCGATATTACCGTATTATTGATGCGATATTACCGTATCCATGAACATGCCATGGAGCATTTACAACAACCTTGTCCACTGCAAGCTTCATATCAGCAGCCTTATAGCATTTTTTCTGTATCTGTAAGCTTACAGGACGGCTTGTATGAGCATTTACAACAACTTGTCCACTGCAAGCTTCATATCAGCAGCCTTATAGCATTTTTCTGTATCTGTAAGCTTACAGGACGGCTTGTAATTTCACACCATTTTAATTGGGTTAAGTGAATTTACTTGACCTTAAGACTCAAGGTCAAGTTGGTAAAACAAATTGGAGCACAAAATGGGAGCGCAGCCGTGAACCACCAATTTTGTACACCAATAAGCCCTGAATCGAACATCTTGGATCTCTCCGGAGTGAGTGACTCTGGACCTATACCAATCACTGGCAATCAGCTGTGCACCACTCGGCTTTGTCCTCTTCCGGCCTTGACCACCACCTGTCGCGCACCACCAGGCCGCGGATCGAATCTGACTTCCACACATCGTTAAATTACGTAATTTTACGTTCACCGCATCTGAGGTTAGGTTTCAGATAGCATAGTTCTGTTCCAAAATTTATTGTCCTCCGACAAGTGGCCGTTCGAGGGACGCCTGTCGGTGACCACCACTGCCATGCTTCGAATGGACTTTCATGATCCCTTCCCTGAAGAATGTAGCCTACAACACTTCATGACTGTAACATTATCAGCCGCATGCCACCAGACAGATCACATCCATTGAATTAGATCAATCAGCCCACAGGAAAATAAGCCTGGCGTCGTATGGCCAAGCTTCGTCTGCCAACACGCGAAAAAATTTTACACCACCCGGATGGAGCGCGCCGGAGCCGTCTGTATCTGTCCCGTGTGTCGAATCAGCCCACGGTCAAACGGCCACGCGTCGTACGACGATAAATTTTTGAACAGAACTATGCTTTCTGAAACCTAACCCCGGATGTTGAGCTAAAACTGACGGCCTGGTGGTTCACGGCAGGATGCATGCAGTTCCACTGGCACCCTGGGCCCTGGTTGGTCACCCTGGTTGGTCACAGTCCGTTGTCTGCAAGTTACAGTTCGAGCTAAAGTCAGGGTATGAAGTGATGATTCAATGCAACGTTCAGTGGTGGACAACCATTATTCTCTGAGTCTGGGCTGTTTGCTTCAGAATATGGTGGCGTGAAGTTCCTAATATTTAAAGCAAGATATGTCATGGGCTGGTTACTAACGGCAAGGTTAATCCGCGGCTGATTGGTTGTCATCCAGATATATGCAAGGCGTTCCTTTCAGGGCTGATTGGTGCACAAATTTGGTGGTGCACGGCTGCATTCCCGCCGTTCGACACTTTGACCGAGGGCTGGTTCGACCCACGGCCTAGATCCGGACGGCTTGAAGTGTTGAACTTTGAAGGCTACGTTCCAGAAGGCAGGAATCATGATGGTTGATGGTCCGTTACATCTAGTGCACTAAGGGCAGTGGTGGTCTTTGACAGGCGACCCGCACAAAATTGGAAAGCGCTGCCATAGCCCAAAAATTTGACTCTTAAATCAGCCCAAGAGCCAATGCCAACCCTCTACATGCAATAGAAATACCTAGTCAGCCTAGCACACATGCAGCTGTTCTTACTTGCCTCATCTCACCACACCAGCTTGAAACAAGCAATGCCTCAGCCCACAAGCTGATAGTGCAAACGGATTATGCCCAATAGCTCCTACACCAATGATTCAAGCCCATACCATCACAGTCATCACTTCTTACAAATGCCATAAGCCACAGGGTCCGCAGAGGCTCAGACCAAACCAGACTGCCGTAAATGGGAACAGCCCCGCACCGGACTGTCGCATCACCTTACCCACTGGCCACTTCGTAGGTGTAAGCCCAGCCCCCAGGGCGCAGAGGGTGGATGCAGCATCGCCAATATATGGGTTTTTAAGCCCTAAGCGTCGCCAGGTAATTTTAAGATGCATCGCCAGGTAATTTTTAATGAAAAGCCATTTACGCTGAGTAATAAAAAACTATTTACATGACATTAATTTATCAAGATAAATTCAACATAATAGGGCAAAAAATTCAAATCTGGAAAGTATAAATAGGTTTTTATAATTTAAAAAAAACTTTCAATCATTTAAATCTCAGAATGGAATGTGAATCAAGTCTATTTGTGAAATCAAACTAGACACAACCAAAACATAAGTGTGTGACACCATCTTGTGAGAAGTAAACAGAAAACACCATGTGAATATACGCAGTGAAAGAGTCAAAGTTTATCTCATAATTTTGTGTGAAATCGAAAACTTTGTGGGTGTTGTCCAATCGTGATAATTTTTTACGAAGCTGGATGTGTTTTTTTTAAATTTTAGAATGTATTCATTGCAAAAATGTGTCCGCTAGCCTACAGATAAACGACTAGTTAACTTGATTAGTCGTTGGCAACACGGGATTGGATTGCAAACCACGCGCGATTTCGGAAGCACAGCTGTTTCAAATGAGTTCAGTTCATCAATTTTCATTGCAGTGGAAGGTGGTGTAACGCGGTGGTAACTGGTAGGGTTGGTATTTCGATACGTTTTCTTATATTGACATGAGAATATATTACCTATACAGAATTCCACACTGGCGGTTCGGTGTAATTCCGAGAGAATTTTGAAAAGCAGTACTCCTGACCATTACCTTAAATTTCCAATTGGGCTTGCTGTACAATCGGACT